TGAACGAGCATTGATTGAGAAAAATAGCGACTGACAAAGAAGAGATGGACGAATGAACTCGAACAAATGTCATATGCACGTATATAAATAGCACTTGAAGATTGAATCAAGGAAATGAATGAACAATGCATATGATGTTTGAATATACGCCGTGTACAAAATAAATAATTGAATGAATCGAATGCGTATGAATCGGTATAATCACTACTTGATTAAGTCAATGAATACATCAGTAAAATAGGGTAGGAAAAAAAATTTGAAAAAATTAAAAAACAACAAATCAAAAAAAAAAAGCGGGACAAAATAAAGAGAAAACTATAGTCATGATCATAAAGAAACTGAACAGGATCGACGCGTGATATACATGATATATAGAAGGCTGTAACGATTACATGCCACTTCAAACCACAGCCAAAATACTCTTCAATATTTCAGAGTCAAAATGTACTGTATCGTTTGAAAAATTCGGCCTCAGGGTTGTTGACATAGGATATGGCGGGCAAGCGGAAATATGAGCAGTGATTTTGTTCTAGATTAAGAAACTCACTTGTCGTCGTGGTGAAAATATAGCTCACTTAGCTGGGCTGATTTTTGTTGATTTAGAAAACTGAAAACTACAAAGCTAGCGGGAATTAAGAAAGGTGCTACTCGCGCTCCTGATAAATGTAAACACAGCATACACACAGTGGCCATAAAACCTCAAAGTAATGAATTCTCGTTATTAAATGCACCCTTCGTTGGAGAGTGCAAACAGGTATAATTCATCTAATTGCCATACGTTCTTCAGAGCTCCTCTCACCATCGCTAATGGCCAATGACTTCTCTGTCAGCTTTTAATTCTTCTTTGCTTTCGCGCTGACGTGAATGTAATAAGTTGTAAGTATAAATAGAAGAATAGGAAAATTATTTCTAATGAATATTGAAATCAACGATCGAGAAAATTTACAAGGTAAAGTGAATATTCAATTCGAAAATGATATGCTCAGATAARACCAAGTCGTGAATATATTCAGGGTAGGTGCCCTGAATATGAGCATCTGCTAAGTGATTTGACGTTTTTGTCTTGAAATTATACAAGCTAGTTTAAACAAACCACATCATACCATGCCCCTGGGCTTTGCGTCTTTATGAATGAATATGCTAGAACAAAACCGACAAATTATAGTCTATGGCGGAAAAACGACCGTTTTTTTTGTTATCAGGTCCTTGATCTGATCTTCAATTTCGTGTGACGTTTCTCGAGTTTAAATAAAGCTTTTGCAAATGAAGTCGAACAAGATCGAGGCGGTAAGCATTGAGCGGCTTGTTCAAACTACGTCTTATTTACCATACTCAGTAGGACTCAAGATAGATTGACAAATGATTCTAAAGAAACGAGAGGAATGACCTGAAAATCGGGATTAAACAAGTGAACGCGCGCTAATTCCACTTGGGAATGAACTATATTTGTTCTCCATTGAATTGAGCTTTTTAGTTGCCGCTGTCTATTGGTATAATTCTAGTTTACAGCAGGAAAAGCTCGGGGTTTGCGAGCTTTCTTGTGACGCACGTACTTTGTGCGCGCTGTATTGAGTTTGTTCGTATGTTGTATGAATTTTTCGTAAATCAATTATCTTTTTATTTGTATTGAAGCGGTTGATCAAAAAGCAGAGAAATAGAAAGCGAGAAAAGAAAGCAAGAACGAAAGAAGGAAGACAAGAAATAAAAGCTGGACAGAAATGCAGAAAAAG